GCAGGGGAGCCCACCCGCAAGGAGCTCAGAGCCCAGTCCCTGCAGACTCCACAGAGATGCCACCCCAGAAGGGTGGGAAACAGTTACCAGCCTCTCTGCCCAGCCTCCCCATCCTGCAGTCAGGAAGACGAGGGTGAGAGGCAAGCATCTCCTGTCTCCCAGCCCAGGCCAGTGCCCTCCCTCCTGCCAGGCAGAGAGGCAGCCTTCACAGCCCACCAGCTCCCCACCATGCATGGCCAGTTCCCAGCAGAAGCGCTGGCTCGGCGCTGGCGGGAGCAGGGAGGCCAGAGCGTGCTGAAAGGGGAGGGGGCAGCCAGCTCCTCCAGGGGAAGGCCCCAGGCAGGCCAAGGAGAGGTGGCTGCTGAATGTAGATGCTGAAACCCAAGGAGACACTTGGAGCCGCGAAGCAAACCTCCTGCCCAGGGCAAGTGTGGAGAACCAGGCGCCTGCCCCAGCCCCACAGGTGGCAGCAGTGTCCTGAATAAGAGCTGAGGCCGCAGATTCAGAGAAATTGAGGTTTTCATCCCAGCTCTACCATATCCCAGCTGTACCATATCCTGGATAAAAGTGACGTGCCCCCTCTGAACCTCACCTTCCTCCTGTGGACAACGCAGCTGTGACAGTGCCTACCTCCAGGGGTGGCTAAAGGTGGTAATGCAGGCAGAGCATTCAGCACAGTAAGTGCCAGTTCCTGTCACCAACACCCACCGGGTGCTTTACAGGAATCATCTCTAATCATCTTTAATCCTCCCATTGCATAGATGAAAAGACTAAGGCTCAGAGTGGGGAAACTAGGATGATTACCACCCACCACCCATGTCCTCCCATATGCAGCCGGTTACTCTCCTACAAAAGGCTCTCAATGTCTAATCTAAGGTACAAAATAGGTTTCCAGCTGATCAGTGATGCTGCCAGGGTGCCCTGCTAGGGGATGCTGTGATGGATTAGCAATGTCTGCATGGGTGAGGGCACGGATACTTGCAGCATAACTGTCACAAATTTACCTAAATAACAGATTGAATCTGATTTTCCCTGGAAACAATGTCCTCTGAAGGCATTATGTTCTATTAAAGACTTGATGCCCAGCGTCTTATCGAATCTACCACAAGCAGAGTGTTTACTCAGCTCTATGTGAGAGCCCTGTGCCCCTTCTGGGTAGAGGTAGTTAAGAGTGATAACCACACATGTGTGATTTTTCTAGTCTAGAAGTTTCCGTTTCCACGTATGCCTTATGTACTGCTTTGATCTTCACTGCAATCCTATGAATGGGGGTGGGGAAACCGAGGCTCAGATGGTCAAGAAACTGGCCCACAGGTGCACAGCAAGGAAGAGGCAGAACCAGCCCCTGGGTCTGTCTCAGATAACCAGCACGTTCCATGTGCCACCCACCTACCCATGAGTCAAACAGTGCAGCTGAGCCCCTGCCATTCCAGACCCAGAGGACTCCCGGCTGAGCCCTGGCTGACGGCGCATGCGCACGGCCCAGGCCAGGCAGGGAGTGGCGCTGACGTTTGGGTGAGCTGACCTTTCCCACCCCGGCCAACCAGCTCAGGGAAGGCCCCAGCAGCCTCTGGCTCCCCAGTGAGTCAGCAGTTGACTCAGGGCCCAGTTCTGGGTGGGTGAGAAGCTGAATCAGGGCTTCAAAGTCACAGAGCTTCAAACGGCCAAGCTCTGAGCCAGGGCCCCTCAAGCATTGGGGACACTGGTACACAGGTTAGTCATCTGGGCATGTCCCTGCCACACGGCTCTGCCTCCTCCCAGGCCTGCCGCTCCTGAGGGCTGCTTCTGCTGCCTGTCCCTGATGCCTCCATGTGCACCATTCCTTTGGGTTCTTGCTGGGGAGCAGAATCTTACAGACTTGAAGTGTGAAAGGTCATTTTGGTTGTCACAATGATGACTGAGGACCACTACCTACCAAGGTTTAGGGACCAAGAACACCCATGTCCTGTAATGTGCAAAACAGCCTGGACCACAAAACACTGCCATGCCCAACACGCTAACAGTGTCCCCGGGGAGGAGCACTTGGTTAGGCGTCATCCCTGAGGTCCCTTCCGAGGAAGAAGGGAGGGAGGGAAATTTCTGGCCAGGGAAGAATCCTGGGGCCCTCAGCACCTGATCAAAGACACACACACACACACACCCCAAGACTGTAAAGCCTAGCCTGAGTGCCCCACAGTTGAGTCCCTGCTCCAGGGGCCCCCTGTGGACACCAAGGTCACCTGAGCCTGTGTTGGCAGAAACTGGCCTTGGCCTCTCCCCGACCAAACCAACACAGGCTATGAAACCTTAGCACTACAGCTTGTGTCCACAGGGCCTAGATCACAGGTCGGCCGTCTCTTAAACACACACCACGGCAGCCACCAAATCTTAGACTTACACCCTTTTTGAAACACAGAACTTTACAGTCTGAATCACAGAAGCTTAGAATTTTAGAGCCCAGGGCCTTAAATATAAACCCTGAACCTTTAGACTCGATCACAGAAGTATTGAGTCAGAGAGTCCCAGAAGCTGGCACTTTTGAAACTGCTCCACTCAGGAATCATCAGCTCTTTGGTCTAGAAGGAACCCAGGAGTCAGGCTGCCAGTTCAGGCTGACACCTGAATCCTTCACCCCAGCTCAGCAGTCTCTGCTGTGGGGCCAGGGAGCCCAACATGCTTGAGCAACTCCCAGCATTGCAGAACCCCTCCTGAAGGAAGGGGCTACCTTGGCCTCACCTCCGCCCCATGCAGCTTCTACACGCTCGGGCCCAGGGCTATCCCCAGACAGAAGAGGACCGAGCCCAGCTCTGCACGGGATTGGGACGCCTCCCCTTCCTTCCTCGGCTGGCTAGACTGCTGCTCCCCACCCCCAGTTCCTGCAGGCCCTGAGGGTGAAGACCAGAGGGGTGGGGAGAACAAAGTGCAAAGGACCCCAGGGACTCTGTCTGCCCAACAGCCCAGAAATGGAGCGACCTCGAAGGGTCTCTGTGGGCTGCTCAGTAGTCAGGGCCCAGGGTGCCTGAGGTCAAGGGTGTGAGCAAGTACAGCTGCACCTCAGCTCCCAGGGCTGGAGGGGGCATCTCATCCAGCCCCTCCTTTTTAGGTAGAGGTACAGAGGCTCAGAGAGAGGGAGCTGCCTAATGTCACACACCTAGTTTATGGCACACGAGACTCAGATCTGCTTCCCATCCAGGGGCTGCTCTGTGACACTTGCACTGACTTTGTGCTGCTTCAGCCCAGCCAGATCTGCCAGAGCCTGTCAGAGGGTGAGCTGGGCCATCATTCCAGGCCAAGGTCACCTGAGCCATGCCTCCGCCCGGAGCAGTCTTGACCATCCAGACCATGTGAGGCTCAGAGAGGTAAAGTGACTTTCCCAAGGTCACACAGCACCCAAATGGCAGAGCCAGACTCAACCCTTGTCCCACCCAGGCAAGGTCCCTATGATGTGGTTCACTGTCTCCCTGGTCCCCCAGCCAGCCTTCCTTCCCCTCAAAGGCCCGGATCTCCCACAATTCCCCTTCTCTGGCCTGGCACTCCCCAGCTCACACACTACAGGCCCCTAATGTTTCCCCAGCATTTTACACTGAAACTGCTCCTCTACGTGGTGCATGGCTGCCCCATCCCAGGAGCTCCCCAGGACAGACCAGCTCTGCTCCCCTGTCCTCCATGATTCCAGGGCAGATATCATGAGTGCTGGATGAACTGGGTCACTGAGCAGACCCTCTCACCATGCCTGAGACCCATGAGCCATCTCGCAGAAGGAATACCAAGGCTCTCTGTCCCCTTCCCAGCTGGGGGCACCAGCTCCACACTCCACCTTCTCCGGCACAGTGCCCCCAGTTTCCAACATGGGGGTACCCAGAGCCCGTCACCACCTCTGCCTCCTACACAGTGGGGAGGCCAGTAGCCTGGCTCCACATGGCTGCCTCTCCCAGACTTTCTGGGGACCCAGCCTGCACACAGAATATCCCAGGTACGCAGAGCCAGTCTCAGGTCCCTCCCTAGTGGCCTCAAGCACTGACAGGGACTGTGTTCTGCTTGGTAGGCCCCCAAAACCAAAGGCCACCATGCCTGGGTCCCAAAGCTTCCTCTTCACTGGTCCCCAGCCACCAGCTCACCCCACTGTTCATGAGGTGAGCTGGTGGCTCTGATCTGCTCCTGAGTGCCTCCTAGCACAATCTCAGTCCATGTCCTGGTCCCCTGAAGTACCCTGGAGGAGGCAAAGTTAGATTCAGAATCTCACAGCTAGATAATGACAATAAATGGAGAGGCTGAGAGGGAATCACAGAGGGCTGCCCTGAGGAGGTGGCATTTAAAAGGTGATTTGAAGGATGCCATGAAGGATTTGGCCAAGTGAAGAGGGAAGTAAAGCATTTCAAAGGTAAGAACATGTGAGAAGGCCCTGAGGCCTAGAAGAGCGGTAGGAAGTCAGGCAGGGCTGGAGGGCTGGTGAAGACTCTCCTCTGCTCTTCGGGGCCATAGAAGCAGGAAGGGTGTTAAGCAGGAGGGGACATGAGCCACATGGCAGGAGGACTGTTGAGGAGGCTGCTTGCTGCTGCCTTCCAGCCCTAGATGGAGGCACAAAAGAAAGAACAAGGGGCAGGCAGGGCCTCACCTGCGTGTTGGGATCAGCCAGCTCCCATCCACGCCCACAGGCCCCCATTGGGCTCTCATCAGCCCTGGGGTCACCATCCGTCAAATGGCTCAGTCACTGGGAGCTGGGCCCTGAGCCAGTGTCTGACTTAGTTCTGCATCCCCAGTCCCAGCACACCTGAGACACACACCTGGGGGCTTTCTGAGCCGGCTGGCCACTGGACTGACCCCTGCAGTCATCAGCACCTTCCAGAACGTTCACTGCAGGTCCTCATCAGCCCAGCCTCCATGCCCCAGTGTCACCCCAGACCCACCACCTGAGCTCACTCACCACCACCACAGCTCTGCGGCCTCAGGCCTCCTAGCCAGAGGAAGGCACGGCAGGCAGGCTCCAGCAGGGAGCACCCCGGCCCCCCCACAAAGGATATGGGTTGCACACCATCCTGATGCACCAGTTCCGGGGGCTGGTGGTCTGTCGCAGGCAGAAGAAAGCAACGGGTGCCAGGTCTGGGTGAGGGATGTCCGGGTCAGCTCCATCCAGGGGCTCCTCCAGGCCTGGCGGGGAGTGGGGGGGACTCTGGGGCCCTGGCTGCTCCGTGACTCCCAGCTCAGCGGCCGGGGCTGCAGAAGACGAGGAGGGTGGCGAGGAGCTCTCAGCCATGTCGGAACTGAGCAAGGAGCCCTGGGGGAGAAAGAGAGGTGGCACAGGGTGGGGGACAAGCCTGGCACCGCCCCCAGTCTCACAAGGGGACACGGCTCAGAGAGCCCAGCCTCAGGCCCTCACTCTGGCCATGAAGATTAGGAAAGAGCTTCCAAATGGGTGTTCCTGGGGCAAGTCTGGTCAACTTTGGAGAGATAAGTGGAGGAAATAAAACCTTCTTAGAATGTAACTGTGATATTGTTTTTTAATGAGACTAGAGTTGTGCATTTATTTCATCATCAAAGGCAAAGAACATTTGCAAGAAAAAAGGAAAAGTTATTGTAAAGACAGATAATAATGCCAAGATGATACAAATAAGGAAGGAGATGTTGGGCCTGCTGTGGGACCTGGGCAAGTAGGGAGGGCATCAGGGCAGGCTTCCCTGAGAACTGACATCTGAGCTGAGACTGGCAGTTGAGCCTAGGGCCCCCCATCCACCGCCCCACAGAAGTGGGAACTCAGGGACGTTACACACCAACGTCTCTGCTTTACAGATGAAGAGACTGAGGCCCAGAGAAGGGACAGGGCAGGCACACAATCAGGTAAGAGCAGAGCTAGAACTCCACCAGGGATGGCTTCCTGGGCGTGTGACCTGCACAGCCACCCAGGACCCACTCACAGAGGGGCCCTGCCCTTGGTTTAATGCTCTGCTGTCACCAACTTGAAATTCTTAGTAATTTGTGATCAAGGGGCCCTGCCTTTTCTTTTTGCATTGAGCCCTGCAAATTATGTAGCTGCTCCTGACTGCAGCTCAGGGGTACTTCCACATTCTGATCTCATCTCATGCTCACGACAATGCCAGGAGGGTTGTTATGCCAAGTTGGCAGATGGATAAACCAAGACCCTTAAGGAAGGAGATCTAGGGTATGGTAAGAGGCAAACATTCCAGCACTGGCCCTCCAGAGGCAGTGATGACTGACCTTGGCCTGGCCTGGCCACCTTTACACAAGTGGCCAATGGCAGGACAGGAACTACAGCCTCTGGTCAGTATCGGCCCACTCACCACCTCACCCAAGAGGTTACCAATCCCTGAATCTTCACCCGCTGGGGTCTCCTGGGCCCTAGAGGCCTGACAGCATCAGGTTGGGCAGTGGGAGTGGAGGTGAAGCCCAAGTCCGTGGCGCCAATCCAGCTGCCACCCATGGCTGCTAAGCTGTCGGCTGAGCTGCCCAGAGCTGATGCGTTTGGACATTTCCCTGGCTCCCAGGGGCAACAGGCGGGAGCTGGCACCTCCTGCCACTTCACCCGGCTGGTCAGGGAGGCAGAGTTTTCTGTCGAGCCCGGGGCTTTGCTCTTGGTTCCAGAAAAACAGCCATGGGCATTACATAAGCTCCCAGGCACCTCAGCCTTCACGTGGACCACTGGGCTTAAAAACACCCTTCCTGGGGTGGCTTCAGATCTGCCCACCACGGTGCCAGCCTCTGAGCCCACCACCTTGCACTGACCCCTTGCTCCTGTCAGACTGCACCTCCTCCAGGCTTAGAGCTGCCTCCTCCGGACCTCTGCTCACACTATTCCCTCTCCTAGGAACCCCCTCTCTTCCATGTCCCAGGCCCTGATGACTCATCCATCTGTCCAACAGATAATTCCTGAGTACCTACTATGTGCAGGCACTGTCAAGGCTCTTGGCTATGCTGGTGAATAAGGCAGACTTGACACCAGCCTTCAGTCAGCCAACACTCCAGAAAGGTAGAAAGACACATAAGTCAATTAATTTCTCTCTCTCTGGGTTTCCATAGTTCTTATCACCATCAAACATACAGTGTAGTTTATGTATTATATCTTCATGATTTAGTGCCTGTCTCCCCAGCCTGAAAGAAGGCTATAAGAGAGCAGGGACTGTGGGGTCTGTTTTGTTCACTGCTATCTCCCCAGCTCCCAAAACAGTACCTGGAACATACTAGGTACTCAATAAATATTGGTTGAATAAATGAATAAAAAGTGCTGGGAAGTAAATAAGCCAGGGAGAAAGGTGGAAAGGGGTTAAAACCACCTTGACCTCTCTAAGGAAAGAAACATTTAAGATAAAAAGCAAGAATCAGAAGGCACCAGCCATGGGTGATCCGTGGAAGAGCAACCAGGTAGGATGACCAGCATGTGCAAAGGCCGGGAAGCTGGAATGAGCTTGGGGCACTTAAGGTACAGAAATGAGGCCAGTGTGACTGAGCCTGTGGCCAGGAATGAGGACAAAATTAGAGTTTGGCAGGGCCTGTTGTGCGCTCACGGAAGGAGCTTGCATTTTATTCCAAGTGCAACAGGAAGCCACAGCTGGGTTTTTAAACGGAGAGTGGTGGGCTCTGTCTGTGGTTTTAAGCCACGCCTCTGGGGTCTGAAGGGAGAATGTGTGGAGGGACGGGGTGGAACAGGAAGGGCCAGAAGGAGGCTGGCAGGGGGCTGGCCTGGCCTGGGGCACTGATGGAGGTGGGGCGACTGAGATGGGTTTGAGACCTGTTTTGGGGGCAGAAGAGCCTGGCACTGCAGGCCAGTGCCACTGGGGCCAGCACCACCCACACCTGCCCTGCAACTGCACAGGCAGGCAGAGCCNACACACACACACACCCCAAGACTGTAAAGCCTAGCCTGAGTGCCCCACAGTTGAGTCCCTGCTCCAGGGGCCCCCTGTGGACACCAAGGTCACCTGAGCCTGTGTTGGCAGAAACTGGCCTTGGCCTCTCCCCGACCAAACCAACACAGGCTATGAAACCTTAGCACTACAGCTTGTGTCCACAGGGCCTAGATCACAGGTCGGCCGTCTCTTAAACACACACCACGGCAGCCACCAAATCTTAGACTTACACCCTTTTTGAAACACAGAACTTTACAGTCTGAATCACAGAAGCTTAGAATTTTAGAGCCCAGGGCCTTAAATATAAACCCTGAACCTTTAGACTCGATCACAGAAGTATTGAGTCAGAGAGTCCCAGAAGCTGGCACTTTTGAAACTGCTCCACTCAGGAATCATCAGCTCTTTGGTCTAGAAGGAACCCAGGAGTCAGGCTGCCAGTTCAGGCTGACACCTGAATCCTTCACCCCAGCTCAGCAGTCTCTGCTGTGGGGCCAGGGAGCCCAACATGCTTGAGCAACTCCCAGCATTGCAGAACCCCTCCTGAAGGAAGGGGCTACCTTGGCCTCACCTCCGCCCCATGCAGCTTCTACACGCTCGGGCCCAGGGCTATCCCCAGACAGAAGAGGACCGAGCCCAGCTCTGCACGGGATTGGGACGCCTCCCCTTCCTTCCTCGGCTGGCTAGACTGCTGCTCCCCACCCCCAGTTCCTGCAGGCCCTGAGGGTGAAGACCAGAGGGGTGGGGAGAACAAAGTGCAAAGGACCCCAGGGACTCTGTCTGCCCAACAGCCCAGAAATGGAGCGACCTCGAAGGGTCTCTGTGGGCTGCTCAGTAGTCAGGGCCCAGGGTGCCTGAGGTCAAGGGTGTGAGCAAGTACAGCTGCACCTCAGCTCCCAGGGCTGGAGGGGGCATCTCATCCAGCCCCTCCTTTTTAGGTAGAGGTACAGAGGCTCAGAGAGAGGGAGCTGCCTAATGTCACACACCTAGTTTATGGCACACGAGACTCAGATCTGCTTCCCATCCAGGGGCTGCTCTGTGACACTTGCACTGACTTTGTGCTGCTTCAGCCCAGCCAGATCTGCCAGAGCCTGTCAGAGGGTGAGCTGGGCCATCATTCCAGGCCAAGGTCACCTGAGCCATGCCTCCGCCCGGAGCAGTCTTGACCATCCAGACCATGTGAGGCTCAGAGAGGTAAAGTGACTTTCCCAAGGTCACACAGCACCCAAATGGCAGAGCCAGACTCAACCCTTGTCCCACCCAGGCAAGGTCCCTATGATGTGGTTCACTGTCTCCCTGGTCCCCCAGCCAGCCTTCCTTCCCCTCAAAGGCCCGGATCTCCCACAATTCCCCTTCTCTGGCCTGGCACTCCCCAGCTCACACACTACAGGCCCCTAATGTTTCCCCAGCATTTTACACTGAAACTGCTCCTCTACGTGGTGCATGGCTGCCCCATCCCAGGAGCTCCCCAGGACAGACCAGCTCTGCTCCCCTGTCCTCCATGATTCCAGGGCAGATATCATGAGTGCTGGATGAACTGGGTCACTGAGCAGACCCTCTCACCATGCCTGAGACCCATGAGCCATCTCGCAGAAGGAATACCAAGGCTCTCTGTCCCCTTCCCAGCTGGGGGCACCAGCTCCACACTCCACCTTCTCCGGCACAGTGCCCCCAGTTTCCAACATGGGGGTACCCAGAGCCCGTCACCACCTCTGCCTCCTACACAGTGGGGAGGCCAGTAGCCTGGCTCCACATGGCTGCCTCTCCCAGACTTTCTGGGGACCCAGCCTGCACACAGAATATCCCAGGTACGCAGAGCCAGTCTCAGGTCCCTCCCTAGTGGCCTCAAGCACTGACAGGGACTGTGTTCTGCTTGGTAGGCCCCCAAAACCAAAGGCCACCATGCCTGGGTCCCAAAGCTTCCTCTTCACTGGTCCCCAGCCACCAGCTCACCCCACTGTTCATGAGGTGAGCTGGTGGCTCTGATCTGCTCCTGAGTGCCTCCTAGCACAATCTCAGTCCATGTCCTGGTCCCCTGAAGTACCCTGGAGGAGGCAAAGTTAGATTCAGAATCTCACAGCTAGATAATGACAATAAATGGAGAGGCTGAGAGGGAATCACAGAGGGCTGCCCTGAGGAGGTGGCATTTAAAAGGTGATTTGAAGGATGCCATGAAGGATTTGGCCAAGTGAAGAGGGAAGTAAAGCATTTCAAAGGTAAGAACATGTGAGAAGGCCCTGAGGCCTAGAAGAGCGGTAGGAAGTCAGGCAGGGCTGGAGGGCTGGTGAAGACTCTCCTCTGCTCTTCGGGGCCATAGAAGCAGGAAGGGTGTTAAGCAGGAGGGGACATGAGCCACATGGCAGGAGGACTGTTGAGGAGGCTGCTTGCTGCTGCCTTCCAGCCCTAGATGGAGGCACA